CGGCGGCGCGCGCCGCCTGCTGCCGGCGCTGCTGGCCGCGCTGCGCTCGCCGCTGGCCGCGCCGCGCCTCGTGCCCGCCTACCGGGCGCTGCGCCCCGCGCTGCTGCCGCGCCACGCCGCGCTCGGGGACCTCATCACTAGACTCACGCTGCGGTAACTCACTCTGCTTACCTCATACCCGCTCGCGCCACATAGGTGCACACCATTTAGCTTTACAATATTTTTGGATCATCCACAACTTTTGATGTTCTGATTCAGTATTTTTTTTTTTAAACGTTGCCTCACACTAGGATTTTCTCCTGTGTCGTAGGTGCGTTTACAAACATACAATATCACATACACATCACACCCAAACCCGAAACATCAATTTGTGGATCACACAAAGTGTTGTCCCGTGCGGGAATCGAACCCGCGACACGTTGCACGGCAGCCGGTTGCCCAGCCACCGCACCGACCGTGCAGTCAAAATTGACTGTATTATCAGTGTATGTCATAAGCAAATATACTAACTTCATCTGTACTATTACGGTAGACTCTACAAACCCCAATGCGACCTGGAACCGAGCTGGGAAGACAACGAGCTGGACGCGGCTACCGCACGCACGATCAACCAGATGTACGCCACCACCTGCACCAGACCCTGCGAAGGAGACGACGACACGCCACAGAAGACCAACCACTTCACAGCGCCAGGATTCTGTTTCGCATTCCCACTACTTAAACTTGGTATGTTGTCATTGAATAACAACCAAGTCTTTCACATAACTGTAACGTTTAATTTCCTATTCATTAAACCTAATTTGAAACGAGGTACAATGTACTATCATTGCGTGTATGCAGGTCTATCGAACTCCGCGCTGTGGTCGGACGAGCAGACGATGCTGAACGGCCTGTCCGTCATAGAGCAGCACGCGGCGCTGCGCCTGGACGCCGACATGATGCAGCCCGCCCTGTTCCCCATCGACCACATGTTCCGACTGCTCATTGACCTCATCAGTACGTAGGCTGTGCTCATCTACTCATAAATTGTTATAAAATTGAGTAATGTACTAATGTTGCATTTAATAACGTAGTAATGAGTAACGCCAGCAAGTTAACCTATTCCAATGTATAAAATATTTCATTGGATTTTTAACTATATAAAAAAACAATAAAATTGTATATGTAATGGAGGAATTTGTCAGAAAAGAGTACGCTATTCTGGTGTCCGCTTTACAGAAACGAACGTTTAATGTTCTGGTTTTGTAGTGTATGGCACAGTAACAAAGTGAGCGTAATGTCGCAGGCAGCACGAGCGGGCGCGTGCAGGCGGCCTGCACGGTGTCGCTGCTGGAGACGGCGCGCTGCGGCGCGCGGGCCGCGCTGGCGCCGGGGGACGTGGCCTGTCTCACGGCCGGCCTGCAGAGCCCGCTCGACGTAATACTTCCGGCATTGCATTCTTTACTATCACGTATCAACTTAATATACTCATTTTGAGATCTCGTGGGTTTACGATGACATGATGACATGATGAGCAGTAAGAGTCGATTTATAATTTACGATTTATTTGAAATCAATCGATTTCAACCTTTGTGATCACAAAGCTTGATAAATTACGTCATCATCATCATCATCATCATCAACAGTCTATATGCCCACTGCTGTTCAAAGCCTCTTCTCACACGTAGAACTTTTGAGCATTAATCACCACGCTTTCTCAATGCGGGTTGGCGATTACAAACTTATAATTAGAAATTATAAGCCCAGGTTACTCACGATGTTTTCCTTCACCGTTTGTCAGTGGTGTCTGGATAAAAGATTATCTATATAAAGACTCTCGGAAAAAGTCACATTAGTACTTACCGTCGGTAGGTTTCGTACCCGCACCCTCATGCATAAGAGCTGGGCGTCTTAAACCTCCGGGCCACCACGACACATTGTGTGATATGTGATAAATTACGAATTTTAAAAATTGCATAGCTAATACTCTAAAAAAATAACTATATTAATGCCATCGTTGGATAAGGCCATAAATTTTGCAATCAATGAAGAGGATGTGTGATGTTTATGTAATTCTCTTTGACAATATCTTTTAATAAATTCAATCTATAAAATTATATCAAAATATTTTAATTTGAATTAATAAATTTATTTATTTGTGACTGGATATTGATGTAACAATGTTCTCACACAATTGCACCAACAAAACTATGTATCTACTGAATTTAAAGAATTTCACTTCACATCCTCTTTTTAAAAATTAAAAGTACCCTTAACCGACGAGCATGCATGAATAGATTGATGACTGATAATGAAGCGAAAGAGGTATGTAAGAATCGTAGTTATTGGCGTTCCCTAGTCTCTGCCTACCCCCATGGGAGACAGGCGTGAAGTTATCTGTATGATATATGTATGTATCTTCTTTTTCAATCAGTTTTACAAGTTTCTTGCTTGTTCTTCTCCATCTATCTACTAAACCTTGAAATGACCAAATAGCGAATGTTCAAAAGTGCTTTTTCATTTTATGTATTTACTTAAAATCTTACCTAAAAATATTATTACAGTTTTCTCCATCGCGATAGTTTAAGCCTACAACTAAATCTAAGTACCTACTTACTAATTTAAAACAAGCCAAAACGACTTTGTATGTGTATTATATCGGTTCGATAATTCAATCGATATTTTTACACGATTTTATTACTACATCTCTAGTGAGACATCAATGGGGCCCACCGTATTTTTGCTTATCAGATGGCGCGTGTGTGAAAATTTTTTTTACACCAATCGGGAATTATCTAGGGTCTCACCATTGGACATTCAATATTAGACAGCTGATTTTGTGATTGGACGTAAACCTATTTCTACATTTGCGTCATCTGATAAGCAAAAAAACGTTAGCCCCCCATTCAAATACCAAACGTCAGTAATGTCATTTGCAAAAACCATGAGATCTCTAAACGACTATAGCAAATCTATTAGTTGAACTAGCATACAATTCGCATACTATTCAAAGACAAAGGACAAGTTGTACAACACAGCAGTGCGTCCTGTGTCTGGGTGAGTACAGAGGAGTCCCCCCAGGTGGTCCGCGACGCGGCGCTGCGCGCGCTGCTGCGCGTGCTGGACGCGCTGCCGGCCCTGCTGGAGGACCCGCAGCACGCGCTCGACCTCACCAAGCGTCTGCTCGTCGCCACCTTCGACGTCGCAGACGACAACAAGTGAGCATCCGGTTATTGTACTTTTGGCAATACAGGCCCAGCCGCTACGTACTGTGGCGTTACGGACATGTTTGGTTGTTACAGAAAGCTGGCGGAAGAGTTGTGGTCCCAGTTACCGCTGGCGCAGCAGTGGAGCCGCGAGCCGGAGCTGGTGGAGCTGCTGCTGGACGAGGTGCAGCACCCCGCCGAGCCCGTGCAGCGCGCCGCCGCCGCCGCGCTGGCGCACCTCGTGCAGCGCGCCGAGCCCGGCGCCGCCGACCACGTGCTGCGCCGGCTGCAGGACATCTACACGGAGCGCCTGCCCGTCAGTACGCGGCGCTGCAATCAGCACTACTATACGTATGAAACAGTCGAATGCTATATTGTGCGATTGTGTAGATGATCCCGGCCCGGCTGGACCAGTTCGGCCACGTGGTGGAGGCGGCGGTGGACGCGTGGGGCGCCCGGCGCGGCGTGGCGCTGGCGCTGCTGGCGCTGGCGCCGCAGCTGCCGGCGGCCGCGGTGCCGCCCGCCATGCGCTTCTTCGTGGAGCGCGCGCTGCCAGACCGCAGCGACCCCGTGCGCGCTGAGATGCTCAACGCGGCCATGGCCATCGTGGACCTGCACGGGAAGGTGACCACCTCTACATGCCCCCTAATACTGTGACGTCCCCGAGTGCTGACGCTAGTTACCGCCCACAGGAGACCCTGAGCAGCCAGCTGCCGGTGTTCGAGAACTTCCTGGACAAGGCGCCGAAGTCGGGCGGGTACGACGCGGTGCGGCAGTGCGTGGTGCTGCTGGTGGGGTCCCTGGCGCGCCACCTGGCGCCCGACGACGCGCGCATCAAGCCCATCACGCTGCGCCTCGTGGCCGCGCTGTCCACGCCCAGCCAGCAGGTGCGTGCTGGCCCGACCTGGCCCACACGGATATTGTCATCCATCATTCACATTATTGTTCAACTCGACAGGTACAAGAAGCAGTAAGCAACTGCCTACCTCACTTGGTGAGCTCTCCAGCCCTGGAAGAGGAAATCCCGGCCATCATGAACAAACTCATGAAACAACTACTCACGGCCGAGAAATATGGAGACAGGAAAGTGAGTACGGAAGGAATATTTTACAAGATACTTCTCGATTTATTTAAGAGGTCAGTGTTTGGAAATAAAATAAATTTAAATGAATGGGTCTGGTGTAACGTAGGGTGCAGCATACGGTATCGCTGGCATCATCAAGGGCCTGGGCATCCTGTCTTTGAAGCAACTCGATGTGATGGGCAAGCTCACCGAGGCCATACAGGAGAAGAAGAACTTCAAGTACCGAGAAGGTGCCCTGTTCGGGTTCGAGATGCTGTGCCACAAGCTGGGCCGCCTGTTCGAGCCCTACATCGTGCACGTGCTGCCGCACCTGCTGCTGTGCTTCGGCGACTCGTCGCAGTACGTGCGCGCCGCCGCCGACGACACCGCCAAGCTCATCATGAGCAAGCTCAGCGCGCACGGCGTCAAGCTCGTGCTGCCCTCGCTGCTGCAGGCGCTGCAGGACGACAACTGGCGCACCAAGGCCGGTACGTCCCGAGCGTACATATCGATACCTTGGGCTCAGATGACCTATTTATACGATTTTATTCAGAATTTTATTATCTATCGATCTGCAATATTGAATTCGTTTAAATTCTTAAAAAAGAACCTTAACTTTACATACTTACGGATTTACACCCTAAAGAAGTAACAATGGTTAAATATTTTAGGGACGTAAAGGAAATTTATCACCATAAATACAGGTTTAAGCCAATTTAGAAATATTTTTTTTTCTAAATCTTCTGTAAAATGTAAGAAATTTCTTTTCTTAAGAATTAAATGGCAGATAAACAAAGAAGTTATAGTAGAGTTATGTGATCGTACATGGCAGGTTCCATCGAGTTGCTGGGCGCGATGGCGTACTGCGCCCCGAAGCAGCTGTCGTCGTGCCTGCCGTCCATCGTGCCCAAGCTCATCGAGGTGCTCAGCGACTCCCACATGCGCGTGCAGGAGGCGGGCGCCGAGGCTCTCGGCGTCATTGGGTCCGTCATCAGAAACCCAGAGATTCAAGGTAAGGTTCTATTCGTATTGCCAAAAAGCCTATAAAGTGTAGAGGGAAGATGCTTACGATGTGTTTATATTACAGCGATCGTACCGGTGCTACTGGAGGCCCTGCAGGACCCGTCCAACAAAACGTCAGCCTGCCTGCAGACCCTGCTGGACACCAAGTTCGTGCATTTCATCGACGCGCCGTCGCTGGCGCTGATTATGCCGGTGGTGCAGCGCGCTTTCCTCGACCGCAGCACTGAGACGCGCAAGATGGCGGCGCAGATCATCGGCAACATGTATTCCCTCACCGACCAGAAGGACCTTATGCCCTACCTGCCCAATATCATCCCCGGCCTCAAGAGCTCCCTGCTGGACCCCGTGCCTGAGGTATACCTTACACTGATTTAGCCGTTTAGACAATTTATGTTTGAATACTTCAAAAGAAGTTTGATTATAATACCGCATTACGGCCGTAGGTACGTTCAGTGTCGGCGCGGGCCCTGGGCGCCATGGTGAAGGGTATGGGAGAGAGCAGCTTCGAGGAGCTGCTGCCGTGGCTCATGCACACCCTTACGTCGGAGTCCAGCTCCGTGGACCGCTCGGGAGCCGCCCAGGGACTCTCTGAGGTCGTCGCCGGCCTCGGCGTCCACAAACTGCATAAGATCATGCCAGGTCAGTTGTGTTAAATTTTTGAAAGACCTATGCCGGAATACTGAAACGTTACTCAGTTTTAAGTCATGCTTAAATATCGTGCCATCTCTGTCATTTCACAAAGAATAAGTGGTGACAGAACTATACTTAAGCGTGACTTAAAATTGAGTAACGTTTCAGTATTCGGGCACTAGACATTGATACTGCTGTAACGCCACTAGCCAACCCACGATACTAATCTGTGTCATCGCAGATATAATCGCGACGGCGGAGCGCACGGACATCGCGCCACACGTGAAGGACGGCTACATCATGATGTTCATCTATATGCCCGGGGCCTTCACGGACGAGTTCCTGCCCTACATCGGTCAGATCATCAACCCTATCCTCAAGGCGCTCGCCGACGAGAACGAGTACGTCAGGGAGACCGCGCTCAAAGCCGGCCAGAGAATTGTCAACCTGTACGCAGAGTCCGCCATCACGCTACTGCTGCCTGAACTCGAGAAGGGACTTTTCGATGACAACTGGCGTATCAGATACAGCTCTGTACAACTCTTGGGAGACCTACTCTACCGAATCTCGGGAGTATCTGGAAAGATGAGTACGGAGACTGCTTCGGAAGATGATAACTTTGGTACAGAGCATTCGCACAAAGCCATCATTAACGCACTCGGCCCCGAGCGGAGGAACCGAGTATTGGCAGGACTGTACATGGGTAGGAGTGACGTCGCACTCATGGTGCGCCAGGCCGCGCTGCATGTCTGGAAGGTGTGTGCCTCGATTCAGTAGACATACTATAAATATTCAGCTCAGTGGAACACGATATGACGCCCTTCTTTACCTGCAGGTGGTGGTCACCAATACCCCGAAGACTTTGCGCGAGATCTTACCGACGCTATTCGGTCTACTACTGGGCTGCCTCGCCTCCACCAGCTACGACAAACGCCAGGTCGCCGCCAGAACACTGGGAGACCTCGTTCGTAAGGTACGTACTAAGTACGGGAGCACTATTTGCTGAGTGCAAATTTTGGCGAAAAATTAGTATTTGTGCTTCGTATTGACTTTATGTATTGCAAACGTACCGAGTCGGTATGTAAGCGATATGACATCGCTCGCAATACATAAGAACACATGCGTCGGCCGCAGCTGGGCGAGCGCGTGCTGCCGGAGATCGTGCCCATCCTGGAGCGCGGGCTGCGCTCGGAGCGCGCGGACCAGCGCCAGGGCGTGTGCATCGGGCTGGGCGAGATCCTGGCGTCCACGTCGCGGGACGCCGTGCTGAGCTTCGCGGACGGGCTCGTGCCCACCGTGCGCACGGCGCTCTGCGACCCGCTGCCAGAGGTGCGCGTGGCGGCCGCGCGGACCTTCGACAGTCTGCACGCCACCATCGGGAACAAGGCGCTCGACGACATCCTGCCGCAGATGCTGGACGGACTCAAGGACCCCGACCCCGAGATAGCGGAGGCCACCCTCGATGGCCTCAAACAGGTTGGTCGTCCGAGCTTCTAACAATTAAATTCATATTTTAAGTTGAAAAGGGTGTGTTTGTTTATTTGTCCGTCTTTCATGGCAAAACGAACCGACGATCTGACGGGATTTTTGTAATTGTTATAAATGATTTATACATGTCACACATCGTTGTCCGTGCGTGTGTCAGGTGATGGCGATAAAGTCCCGCGCGGTGCTGCCGTACCTGGTGCCGGTGCTGACGGCGGGCGGCGCGGGCGGCGCGGTGGACACGCGCGCGCTGTCGGCGCTGGCGGCGGGCGCGGGCGCGGCGCTGGCCCGCCACCTGCCGCGCGTGCTGCCGGCGCTGCTGGCGGCGCTGGTGGCGGCGCGCGGCGGCCCGGACGAGGCGCGCGAGCTCGACCACTGCCGGGACGCGCTGCTGCCCGTCGTCGACCCGCCCGGCGTGCGCAGGTAATTCATTTACCTCATTCGTTCGCGCACGGTACAGATTAAGAGATTCGGTGCGCACCACAGACATATTAAAGAAGGAGATATAGCAGTGGCGTGCAGTCCATATAGGCAAAAAGACTTTGCCTACCTTACAAATACCGTGAATAACACTACGTAATAAAAGATATAAACATTTTAATTTTACTACAGAATACTAAAATAATAATTATAATAAAATTAGTGAACGCCTAAAATAAATAGTATAGCAACAATGATGGCGCGCGATACGTGTTGCATTTCGCCAGGCGTACCGTATATAGCTGTAAACATTAACGCGCGAGGCAGGCACGCGGTTCCGTCGCCTGCAAACCATTCATAAATTTAAGCGTGTAGTGGTGAACGTCATTGTGTGCGTAGTGCACAGACGCGTTTATTTTATCGTCG